CTATGTAACGTAAGTTTCACTTCTCCAGTGTGGCCCAGACGCACTTACTTTTTTTTTTNATGGTGCAACGGAATTGATTGGACCTGAAAAAAGTGCTTCTTGTGTGTATGCATATGGTATTAATTTAACTAAAATTTGCTGATAAAAGGTTAAAGAATAACACCTAGAAAAAGGCCAACAGAAAATGAAAGTAAAGGTGACTACGTACATAGATAAAGAAAAGGATAAGTGCCAACATAAAAACAAAAACAAAGATGCGTAAAGATAAAGGCAAAAATGAAGGCCAAGGTAAATTTGAACACTTTCCTTATATATATATAAGGGCAAAGGTGAAGGGGAATATGTATGTAGATGAAGAAAATGATAAACATAAAAGTAAAGACGAAGAGGAAGATGCGGATACCGATAAAAGTAAAGATGAAGATGGGGAATGAAAGATTAAAATAAAGGTAATTTAAGAGGAAAGGATATAGAGAGAGACACAGAGACTCAATCTGGGAATTATTTTGGGATTTTAGAAATATTCGGAACTCTCGGGACTTATCGATATTTTTATCGGGTTTGCTATCGACATTTTTAACGATTTTGTTATCGATATTTTTATCGATTTTGTAATCAATATGTTTAACTATTTTGTTAGCGACATTTTTTATCGATTTTGTTATCGATATTTTTATCGATTTTGTTAAGGATATTTATCAATTTTGTTATCGATATTTTTAACTATTTTGTTAGCGATATTTTTATTGATTTTGTTATCGATATTTATCGATTTTGTTATCGATATTTATCGACTTTGTTATTGATATTTTTATCGATTTTGTTATCGATTTTGTTATGGATATTCTTTTCGAGTTTCTAATATATTTTGCTACTAATATTATTATTGTTTTGGCTATCGAAATTTTTATCGATTTTGTTATCGATATTTTTATCGGTTTGTTTATCGATATTTTATTGGATGTTACTATCAATTTTGTTATCGATAGAGTGTAAAGATAAAAATTAAGATAATGAAACACACAAACAGAATAACATAAATGTAATTAGAACGAACAGAGGTAGGGGTAGGGATCTAGATGGAAAAAGACAAAAAATATAACCTTAAGCAAAATCAGATGTATGTATGTATGTACGTATGTATGGATGTATATTGGTTATGACACAAAATAGATATCTATGTAACGTAAGTTTCACTTCTCCAGTGTGGCCCAGACGCACTTACTTTTTTTTTTTGATTTTGACAATTTGCAGCAAAGGCTCGACATGTTTTTACTAGTTTTTCTTATGAAATAAAACTTTAGGCTACTACATATGTCTCTGATAACTTCTACTTCGTTGCTGTTGCTTCTTTATTCCTAATCCTACTAATATTTTAAATTTGAAAATTTGTCCGTGAGTGTGTGAGTATGTTTGTTGCTCTAATTCGCTAAAACGACTGGACGTATTTCAATGAAATTTTTAAAACCGCTAAACCATAACCTGTAGCAATAAGTATGTATACTACTTTCCGAAAATAGTTATCACCTTTTTACAAAAGAATTTAATCTATTAATTATCAAGTTAAATAAAATATTACATTAATGTGTGTGTCGAACGAAATGGGTTAAAACGGTTTATTTCGAAAATGTGTTTGAAGAGGGTTGCCACCCATTTAGAAATACAAAATCCATTTAGTTTGCAAGTTTAAATAAATATTTTGTAAAAAAACATAAATGTAACAAGTAAAAAAAAAACAGGTAACGAAATCGGAGCTCGGGCGAAGCTTATACGTTCTTGTCAACATTAAAACGTGTCTCTATAAAAAAATTTTAATAAAAATCTATTTCATAATTGCGGTACGAGTAATATATTGCCTCCAACAGTAGTCTAAATGCTTCTGAAGAATGTCTCTTAGTCAAAGATTTACTTATTTTTCCTAATTGACAGAATACATAAAATATAAAGGGAAAAATAAAAAAATTATTTATCTTTACGAACACAATGAATTATTTTTCCTTCTACTCAAACAGAGCTTAGGATGATGCCTCAGCACAATATAGGGAAGATGACAGTAATGAGTGGAGCCCACATTCTCTAGAAGCTCTGTATTTATGTCTTTTACATTAATATGCTTGCATGCTGGCAAGAAGCTTTCAGCAATATGCCACAACCGGATATTACAAACTGTGGCAACAGTTGCAAAAGGAAATCGAGCGTGGTTTACACATCAATAATTTTAATTTTTCCACATACATATGTAGGTACTAGCATATATATTTCGTATATAGTACATATATGTGTGTGTATGTGTGGCATTTTAGGCATGGTGTTGCATAGTTTATGCGGTTTATTGAATGCAACATAAAATAACTTTTGTGCATACAAACATATATATAAATATATGCGGCAAGATATTTGCGACTTTCAGAATGAGAGTAGATTTGGTTAATGGTTTATCAAAAAATAATATTTTTCAAGCACAATCTTTTGAAAATAAAATACTCGTACTTCATTCAAAAATTTTTTGGTTAACTGAATTGGGAAATAAATGAAAGCCGAAATCCTAACCACAAGGGAAAATAAAATCGTTATTCTTTATTTATTTTCAGATGCTCTTAATTGACTTCAGCACTCCAGAGGCCATTTAAATTTCATCATCACAGCGCCATGCCTAAATTACTACCTCAATGACTTACATAGTGGCAATTTCATTATATAAAACTCCTGCTGAATTTACTCTGCACACCCACACACACACACACATATTTCAATCCAAAAGCACAGTACACACACATACACATAAAACACCCACACATTCACACATGCAAATAGGACATAAACGAAAGCACACAAAAAACCACCCGAATAGTGACAGTAAAAATTTGCCTAACAAATTCAATTTGCAACGAAACCATAGTGGTGTCGCGTTTAAAATTTGCGCACATACACGCCAGGGTTGCCAAGTTCGAGCTCATAAATATTCATATCAGCGTGTTGCCGCAAAAAAAAAAGTGAGGCAAAGCATAAGTGAAATAAATACTCGCTGATGCGGTGAAAGCATACTTTCGTATATTTTTTTCGAGTGGATTTCAAGCAACAGACATTAACGGTTTTTCAATACTGTTTATACATACATACATACATACATACATACATATTGGGGCATACGCCAAATTTAAATTGACATGAAATATTTGGTGGCATCAAAAGCAATAAGACACGCTAAATGTTGTGGAAATGCAACCAAAATATTAAAGCGTTGAAAAAATTATTTAGGAGTTAGGATGGTTTGTCTGATAGCGCTGAGATAAGGTAAAATAATCATACTTGGCAGTGTTAGCACACATTTAAGATTCGTAGCTCATCGACTTTAGATAGTCTACGCACGACATGGCAGATAAATTAAATTGATGGTGGCTATCGACCAGTTGAGATATAAAAACACGAATGCCATCAGATCTGCACCGTTCGTTCGGCTGTCAAAAATGAGTTGCCAAATTGAAGGGCTTGTCATATTAAAAAATGAAATTCAAATTATTTATTAACAAACTAAACATTAAAAGATGGGTAACAATCGAAATGCTTTTAGAAAGGGTTTACTTTGAACCTACGTGAAAGAGGGTTGCCACCTATTTAAAAATTCAAATTAAATATGGGTGTCAGACAAAAGAGATTTTAGTAGGTTTTTGTGAGAAACTATTTTTTATTTTTTTATATTTTTCTTCCACCTGTTTGGCTAGTCGAATGTTATTAAATTATATTCAAGTTATGTATATGAAATACTAAAATATGCATGCAAAATGAAAGAGTATTAAGAAATCTATAGTTTGCACATATAGGAAAATGTTGAGGTGTTTGAAGAGGGTTGCCACCTGTATAAATTGTTAGGTACAAATTATTTAATAAGTTAATTGAATGAATTGAAAGATGGGTATCCCATATAAAAGGATTTAAAAGGGCTTTATATCTAAACCATATTTAGGAGGGTTGCCATCTGTTAAAAAAAAGTCAAATTTAATTTAAATCATCAGTTAATTGAAATATGTACCACAATGGCGGATGAAAGAAATGTAAGAAGGTTTTAGTTGGAAAATTATTTTGCCACCTTTTAAATCAAACCACAGGGCTGCAAAAAGATATTTTGTTTTTAACAATTTAGTATCCTTAACACGAGTCCGTTTTCGAGTGTCAGGATTTTAAGATATTTTGACTTCAAAGCAGAAAAAATAGAATAACAGCTATATTTGGGACGTTGTGACATCAGTAAACAATTTTGTATTAAAATACAGGTCATTCTCAAATAAAGCCCATATACACCTAAGTTTAAAACTTCGTAGAAAATTAAAAAAAAATAATCAAAATTTCAAAATTTTTTTTCGCCGTTTCTCCTATATAAAAATAAATTTTGTTTATTTATTTATATTTTAGCCACTTAAAACGAAACTTAAAGAGGCTATAAAACTGTATACTCAAAAAAAAAAAATTTCTAACACTTCTGAGAAAAAAATTTGATATTCGGAAATTTATTGATTTTTTTTTTGGGTTTCTACAAAGTTTTAAACTTTGAGATTATGTGTATGGGTTTTGTTAGAGAATGAATTGTATTTTTATGGAGAATACCCAAAAGTAAATAAATAATCATAACTAACCAAACATATCACTTCGGAATGGGATGCTTATGATATAACGGATACTGTATTTTAAGTCAGTTTTAAACTCTTTTCTAAAGTCCTTTCATAACAGTATTAAGTATCCTTTAACAGCTCAATTTTAGCTCAGTTATGTTACTGTTAATGTACAAACTAAGTAGCAGAGCAATGTTATTAGCAGTTACTGCTGCGTCGGCGTCAACGCCGCTGTTAACTCAACATAATGGTGGTAGTTTTTGCCTTATTGGCGCCCACATTCATAAACATATGTATGTATATAACTCTGCCAACGTCACACACCAACTTCAATGCGCTACGCTCACCAATGCCAAAATCGGTGAATGAGTTTCAGTTTCAGTTGAGTACTCGTGGCGTTTGGACGTGTTTCGGAAGAATTGGTGGTAACGGCGAGGTTTGTGAACCCATAACACTGTTCAGGGTACATTCATATATGACAGTGAGGGTGCATCCCATCATCATCATTAGGGGAGAAGTGGTGAATAGTGAGACAAAGCTACATACATATACATACGCACATAAAAGCAAATGATTACAATTGTGTACACACACCAAAAGCAATAATGATACAAGAATAGTTTGCAGTGCAAGAAAATAAAAGATAAAAGTAAGTGTTAAAAGTTGAGTGGAGTCAGCAACGAATGTGCAACACAAAATACATACAACAAAAAGGAGAGAAAAAAAATCTAGAAACGACAACGGTAGTGTGGCAAAGTGGCAAGTTGGCCTTTTCGTCTTACCGGTTTTTTGACATCAACACATACATACATACAAACAAACAAACCCATACAGATGTGGTGTGTATTTACACATATACATACTTATGTTTGCTTGTAACTTGGCTTGTTTGGTAAATATTTGTGTATAAATTGTGCGTCCAAACGCGTTTATTGCGCCAACAGCGCTGCCAGCATTGGCGCTAACATTATTAACGTTGACTTTGCGGTCGTTGTGTTGCTTTGAGCCATTCGAAAATGTATCTGTGTATATAAATATTTCGTTGCGACAGCTGTATGTATTTGTTTGCGCGTATAAGTGTTAGTGTTGGCTTGCTTGTAAACGTTTTTGGATTGAAGTTGGCTTTTTGATCTTTGTGGGCCGACTTTGAGTGTATCTTGTCTCTGGCTAGCTCGCAATTTTTTGTGGCTTTTGAAGCCTTTTTTTATTCACGAATACAGTGTGCTTTGTGTGTGAATTTGAGAAAATCCAAACTTAAGCTTACAGAAGCGAGCATAGTTGTGGAGCAACAATAACAACAAATAGCAAAAGAAAAAAATAAAAGTAATATATGAAATAAAAAAATATATACATACATACATAAATATCACAGGCCAAGTCGTCGTTTGGCTACAAATACAGTTGTTGTGCAATTCACGAGATTAACGTCAAGTATTTGTGTTGACCGTTTGGCATGGATAAGAAGCATTTGTTGTGAAAGCCCCAAATATACATATATATATATGTATGAACATAGATACATATCGAATCAATAAAAAAAAAATATCTGACGTAGTGAATTACGAATTCAAACCAGAAGCAAACGTAAAAGTAAGCCAATATATTGGTCTACTCATAAATTTAGTGTGAAAAGTATCTAATTTGAAAAAGTTTTGCAAAGTGTTAAAAAAGTAATTAAAAAAAAAGTATATAAAAGAAGAACATAATAGTTTATTAGTGAAACTTTCCGTGTGTTTTTCTGATTATAAGCGCGCTAAGCCTGCCTCTACATACATACATACATACAAAATAACGACTAGGTACAAGGCGCATCGCAAATTTCCTTCGTCTGTTGGCGTACTAAAGCAAAAATAGTAAGTTGTAAACACTTGAAGTTGGCTGAAAAGTGGCACAATGCAATAATAGGCATACCCGTATACATATAATAGTTAAGCCTATACTTGTTTAGTAGTAAGGAATTGGAAATAAGTAGCACAAAAGAGAACAACCAAATTTGATGAAGACTGCCAATAACGAGTTTGGTGGAACTGGAATGAACTAATGTTGATTATGAGTATAAATAACATATAAAATAAGATAAACAAGAGATAATGCGATCTGAAATATCACTTGTATCTCTAAAGAGAGTCCCTAACTTAATATGCTCTGAAACTGATTCTGGATCAGGATCTGGTGGTCTTTCTCAAAGATAATGGGGATAAGCTTCACTTTTTTCTTTTGGAATATGCTTCGACCTTCCAGACTGAGGTGTTTGCAGTCCTCAAGGTCATGGACAGCGTGGTGGAGGAGAAGGAGTTTACGTCTCTGTCACAGCCAAGCTGCACGTAAAGCATTGACCAGCCCTCTAACTACTTCCAAACTAGTTCAGCAATGCAAGTCTCGTCTAAATTATGTTGGTAAATAGGTTGCTTTACTCTGAATGCCAGGTCACTCGGGAGTACCTGATATTGAGACATCTGACCATTTGGCCAGAATCGGAATTTCTCGGTCTGCAACCACTCCTTCCTACCTTTGGCCGTCGAAGCCACTATCAGAAACTGGGAATACTTCGCTCAGAAATGACTGAGAAGGCATCGAGGGGCTGCAGGTTCGCAAAACTCATATTGCCTTCAATATCAGAAGACCTATCTAGTTGTTTGGTATCATTGGGCAGACGGGACTGCAGATAACTTGTTGGGCTACTGACTCGTTACTTCAAGTGGCGTAACCACCTGACTGCGATAGGCTTACATGACAACTCCATTCGCCCATCCTGCCTTGAAGAGAATGAGACGGTGCAAGAATAAGGTATGAGGCATTTTACCGCGATGTGTTGAGACGAACACCTGAGCTCTTTGATGCCCAACAATCTGCTTAGGTTTATTCGTAAAAGAGACAGAAAAACAGTAGAATAGATGGCATGTAGTCTGAATGCTGTTTTCTGCAAACGCCCTCTTCTTTCCTAGTGAATCCTAAAAGATGGTAGTCAGTCAAACTCCTTATTGAAGATTTTAGTTAAGTTAATCTTTATCTAATCGGGGCTGGACAGTCACAAAAAATGTGTTTGGAAGTTTCCTCATCCTCAAAGTACAGCCGGAATTTCAATTATCCGATAACACCTTTCCGGCGCATTTGCAAACGTAGATGGCTGTAGAAAGTTAGGTACCCAAAGAAAATAGCTTGTTTTCGATTTATTTGAATAAAATTCGTTCTCTTGAGAGAACTCTCTCCACTTACTGCGTTCAGAATGTAACCACTCAGCAAATATGGTTCTCGAAGAGGGTCAACTAAGACCGAAATAAGGTTTCAGTTCTAAAAAGCCAGTTAAGGATCCATCCCACGCCACCGATTTCCTTTCTTTCGATCCCACAATAGTCCGGCTTCCGGTACAGAATTGCTGTATTTTTTGTTATAGCAGCCTTTAACCAGTTTGGATTACATTATACAGACAAGAGTCCACTCTAGAAGCGATTTTATCGCCACATCTGATCAAGTTCTTGTCGATGCTGTAGCGGAGAGAGTCGTCAAGTATTTTGTCATCATACTACGAATGCATACGTCGCAATCGGGCGGACGATGATGTGGTAAAGATACTCGAGCAACTCTGAGTTTATATAATGGTTTATAGATTTATATAGATACATACATATGAACATCCATATAACTATGTAACCTTAATCTACATTGATAACGAAAATAAGGGACTACCTGCAATAAAAATGCATAAACTAATTAACAAATATGAAAATAATAAAAAACAATATTGTATCAATAGACAGAATATAATTGGTCGTAGTGGTAAGCAGTGCAGGTTTTCACTCCGCAGCGCCCGGGTTCAATCCCTAGTCAGAGCAACATCGCAAAAAAAAAAAAAAAATTTGTCCCATTAAAACAAGAACAAGGAGATTTATAAGAAGCAAATGTGAATTGTAAGAAGGTATAGGATCATCGAATTTCAGAGAACGAAGAGCTAATTCCAGGAAATTGTGAATATGGTCTCCAAAGAAACGTAGCATATGTATTTAGAGATTTTAAGAAAATCTAGAATCAAATATAAATCCAAGGTGTTAAGTTTCCTGAACAAAATTTAGTATTATATTCGATATAGAGTAAGAGGTATGCATGATATTACGAACTTTTGAACAAGTAGTATGAAAACATCTTTTTTTGTTATATTTAGTGTGAGGAGAGACTTTTGGCACCAAGGAATCAGTTTATTTTACTCTGCTTGAAAGTGTGCCGCATCGGTAGCATTGCGTACAACAGAGAATATTTTTAAGACATCAGCATACATATAATAAAAATCTGGCAACAGAAAAGCAGGCACTTATGCTGTTGATGAAGGTAGGCCGAAAAATATGAGACTTGTTGAAAAGGATATTAATTTCTCGATTTCTTTAACATTCATGGCTTCCCATGCACCTAATTCATTTGCATTAGCTTAGTGAAAATGGAAAAAGCTTTCGAGCGCAATTAATTGAACCGAAGTTCACTTGGTTTTTATGAAGTATCAATGAAATCACACATCCACAAAGGAGTCTGTACCCAGCATGAAATAGATGCGAAACAGTGCTGGGAGTCACCCTGGTGGAAAGGCATTTTATTTTTGCAATATCTACTAACCTTTCTTCGCCTTTATCAGCGGCGATTCTTTCAGAAAAACACTGCTTCCCCAATCAGAAAATATTCTTAACCTTCGAATATTCTTGCTATGAATATTAAAGACTCAACTAACAAAAGCAGCTTTATTTATAATTAAAAGAATAATCTTTTCAAGAAGAAAGCAATAACTACACATCACCTGCAGCTACATAATTGCGTTTACGAACACTGAGTGATCTAAGTAACAAAACTAGGTAAAACTCGAATATTATTCGTAATCGCAAAGCTGCAACAGGTTGTCATCTAACAAATTAGAAAACATAATTTACTTTCCTTTGGCTGATCAAATACGAAAACCATCGTAAACAATCAGAATTTCATTTAAGATATTTACAATTTCTTGCAGTGATATTCAACTATTTATTTATAAGCGGTTTATTATTATTGTATTTACTCACTTTTATTAAGCCTAGATAAATACATACATACATACGTATGTTCGTATGAATATATCCGACCTGAATTATTGATTGGTCATATTCATACTACGATTATTTATTCAGTAAGCGTACGCATTTCCATTTTAAACTATTGACAGAGCGATGTACATATGTACATGCATGCGTGTAATAAAAAGGTTTACTGCGATATCGTACTTCATACGTTTATATGTTTATATACATTTACTCGCTACTGTGTTAATATTAAAAATTAATTATGCTGAATTGAATGCATTAACGCTCGAAAGCAGATTCTTAGAAAAGAGCTTCTACAAATTGGATCTATAAGTAGAACGCGATGAGCTCAGGTTTGGAAAACGTAAACCAATTGCTATGGCGGTATTCAGTTTAATTGATGAAATAACCCATTAGCATGAAAATGCGTAAAAAGTAATAATTCGAAATTTTTTGCATTATGTATATCTGTTGCTTGAAAAAGTACTTTTCCTTCGCTGTAAATTTTCTTCAAGAAAAGAAAATACAAGCATTTTTTTTTTCTTGATAGCTGTTAACCGGTTCTTCTCCACTTCTTGGACTTCAGTTTATATCGTGAGTTTGGCCCGACAACTTCCCCGAAATTTTTTCATCCACCCGTATTGAATACACGGAAACGATAAGTAAATTTTGAACCAATTCGGTGAAAATGAAAGTAATGATAAGGTTGATGAATTTATCGGGTTTCTTGGGAGTTTTCTACTATGCTTTGATGGAGTGTGAATTCTCCGATACCTTGACTGGGAGGATCCCGATCGGCCAGTCATACGAGAAGATTTTGTCACGTTCATAGGCGCATTTGGAAAATTGACGACAAATAGCTAGGAAAGGTTTTCACTTTGCGGAAAGAATTTATAAAACATTGTAACTACTTTGGTTGCAATACAGACACTCAAAGAATCCATGTAGAAGATCTCTTCCATATAATTTACTCAAATGCCACACAATTAGCTAAAAACTTACACCCCCCAGAAAGCCGGAATAAGCGGTAACCATAATCATCGAGGCAATCTTCCATTCCAAAGCCGTGAAGCTTATCATAAAGTTTCTGCATACATACTACCATTCATCGAAATGGTCCCAGAAGATTTAAAGACGCGATATTCAAAAGACGTACAGAAAAGTTTTAATTTCAGTCTGCCGTCGCATTACAGCTCAACAGCCACTTGGAAGAGGTTTCTCGATAAGAGGCAACAAAGAGTCTTTTTTGCTCGTTTATATAAAGTAGTGGATAAAAATATACGTATATGCGAAAGGCAAATTTATCTATTTAAATAAACACCACTAATATTTCCTGCGAACACACATCGATTTACATATTTTATCTCACCTCCGACACAGAATTGTTTTCGTACAAAATTACGCAAAAAAGCTTACTCGTTCGTTTTAGGCATGCCATTGTTACGAATTTCGCAAGTTCGAAGATACGATACGGATTGCAGCATACCATTTCGACGAATCGTAGCAAAATCCGAATACGAAAGTGTTGCAGAATAGGGGTGCAAGTAATTTGAAAATTTTTAAAATTCTGTGAGTTCCAAGGACTGATAGGCATTTTTCAGCAGTGTGCTATAATTACATATATGATACAAATATAATTTTACAGAAAAATAACGAAATTGATCAATCATTGCGCTTAAATGCGGACACAGATACGGTCAATATGTTTCGGAAAGGTGAAAAAACATATATTTAATACTTGCGCCGGGTATTTAATGTTCGGCTCCACCCGAACTTAGACTTTCTTGCTCGTTATTTTTAGTAAACTTTCCAGGCTT